ACTGTTGGCTGAGCTGAGCATATGCTCTCCAATCCACGCGTTTCGATGTTGCCAATACAGTTGCTGATGGGACACGTCAGACGTCGCGTTGGCACGTGTCACTACGTGGCGTGTGCTGATGACGGTCTGAATTTGCCGCGGCTATGCACGTGGTTTGAGGAAGATTTGGTGTGTGTGTGTGTGTGTGTGTGTGCGTGTGTGTGTGTGTGTGTGTGTGTGCGTGTGTGTGTGTGTGTGTGTGTGTGTGTGTGTATGTGTGTGTGTGTGTGTGTGTGTGTGTGTGTGTGTGTGTGTGTGTGTGTGTGTGTGTGTGTGTGTGTGTGTGTGTGTGTGTGTGCGTGTGTGTGTGTTTTGTGTGTGTGCGTGTGTGTGTGTGTGCGTGTGTGTATGCGTATGTGTGTGTGGGCCCGTGTGTGTTTCGACGCTCATTGTTGAATGAAGTGACCAACTGGCGCGTGAGAGTCGGCAGGGATCCCTGTCAGGGGTCAACGTTTCCTGCAGCTTTGTGTAGGGGCGTTTCTTGCCATGCAGCGGTGCATGCATGATGTTGCATTCCTCAAAAGGGGAAGCAACTTGTCCTCCTCTGTGAGGCGCAGCTCGTGATCACGAAATGGAAACGGTGCCGGCGAACACGGTTTCCTCGTTTGCTCTGACGGGCCTTTCGGGGTTTGTACCCATTTCGTTGTTTTCCCGTAGAATGCAATTTGCCCTATCCAGCAAACTTATGTACGCACCCCGTATTGAGCACACTCGTTTAAGGGCAGCAGCGCTTAGATTACGCGGCAACTTGAGAAGCTTGGTGCAGACTGATCAGACTTAAGTCTGACACGGACCGATCAAAGTTAAGTCTGACACGGACTGATCAGACTGGTCTGACGCGGACTGATCAGACTGGTCTGACGCGGACTGATCAGACTTTGGTCTGACACGGACTGATCAGACTTCGGTCTGACACGGACTGATCAGACTTTGGTCTGACGCGGACTGATCAGACTTTGGTCCGACACGGACTGATCAGACTTCGGTCTGACACGGACTGATCAGACTTTGGTCTGACGCGGACTGATCAGACTTTGGTCTGACACGGACTGATCAGACTTCGGTCTGACACGGACTGATCAGACTTTGGTGTGACGCGGACTGATCAGACTTTGGTCTGACGCGGACAGATCAGTGTGACGACGCGCGGGAGGGCTATGTGAACATGTCTGCCCGTCTGGAACATCGAATAACGCTGACAAGGAGAGTTACTGAAATACTGACGGCTGTGAGTGAAGGGAAAATGGAAGACCGAGGGGGGAGGGGGGAGAAATGCTGGTATAGATGAGTGATGGCCAGTGGTTACAAACAGCGGATACTTTGCTGCGTTTATCAGGCTGTTATTTCGGCATCGGCGGTCATTTATGACTTACGTGACGATGGGGGCGGGTTATAACTGGAGCGACCGTTATAGTTGACGGGCAGCAGCTAAGCGTATAACAACGTAACTGAGCGAAGGGGGTTGTTATCATAATTCAGAATGCGCTACATAATTTATGAATGACCACTTATCTTTCTCAAGCAATGAATCATGGACTCGGTGGAGAGAGTTGGGCGCATCAAATCATTCATCCAATTCGATATCTCTTCGCGATGCTTTTGGTTCAAACGACTGGGCGCACGAAACAATTTCGTAATGCTGTGTGTGTCCGACGTAGGAGAAATTGGGATTCGAGACTCAGATTTCGAGCCCTTACAACTCTTCATCACCTGAAATATTGCCCATTTTGCGCCCTGTTATCGTCCGTAACGTCAATGACCCAAACGCTGAGATGGTGGAAGACCACCATGTGGTTTCCGCCCGTCATTGGGCCAGTGATGAAATTAACAATTTGCAAAGCGAACATGCCGCAAAAAGAAGACTGGTGGCGGAATGAAAGGTGTTAAATGATTTCGTGGAGTATACGCCAACAGCCTTAACTCAATTACAGACGCGTTAGAACCAGACCGACGTTCAGCGGAGCATTTTGTATTGTTGTTTCGCTGGTGGCCAAAATGTTGAGCTGTCCAAAGGTTGGATATGTCTTGGGGGAGGGGGCGATTCGACAGTCTCTTGCCAGTTTACGCCCGCCTTCGTTTTTTATGTTGTCACACACTGGTATGTGTAGCGTGTAGCAGAGGACGAAAACAATCGGCTCTTGTCATTTGTAAGATAGTGACTTTCATTTATGACATTCACTTATAAAGTCCTCTCGTGTGTAGTCTTCTTTCTTTAATTTTATTTGCTGTATTTGGTGCAAATGTCTCCCCGATTTATCCAGCTACTTCCTGTTCAAAATGTTCAGTTGGGGAGAACTCTTTTTGCATCCAGCTGGGCCAAGATACGGTGACGACCGGATGCAGAAGAGTTACAGGCGCACACTGTATCCACTATGCGCTCTATCCACACACCAACCGGCTCCTTCTCATACCTTCTGGGGCCCACCCATATGCTTCCTACCTCAGTGAATATGGCGCAGTTGCGGCCCCACTCTGGTTCTGCTTCCCGCCTCAGTGAATATGGCGCAGTTGCGGCCCCTTTCTGGTTCTGCTTCCTGCCTCAGTGAATATGGCGCGGTTGCAACCCCACTCTGGTTCTGCTCCCTGCCTCAGTGAATATGCCGCGGTTGCGGCCCCACTCTGGTTCTGTTTCCTGCCTCAGTGAATATGGCGCAGTTGCGGCCCCACTCTGGTTATGCCTCCTGCGTTAGTGAATATGGCGCGGTTACGACCCCACTCTGGTTCTGCTTCCTGCCTCAGTGAATATGGCGCGGTTGCGACCCCAGCCTGGTGCATGACTCTGGCGCACAGGAGACGATGGCTGACCACGGCACCCGCAGCCCATGCGACCTCCCCAGACTCCCAGCGAGGTGACGCGTGACACTCCCGGGGGGCGACGGACATACTCAGACAGGACGCAGACCCCTGGTCCAGGCTAAAACACCAGCCTCAGGCCTCAAATACGGGCCAGACATTAGAACCAGACCTGAGAGAGCAGACTCAGGCTTCAGGCTCACATCGATCCAAAACTAGACTTAGATCCGGGATCCAGACCCAGACACACGCTCGAACTCAGACCCAGACCGAACCCATACCAGGTCCTAGACCCAGTCACAGACCCAGACCGATCAGACCAGGCCAGATCCCAGACCCAGACCAGACTCCAGAACCTAGCCTGAACTAGAGCCGACCCAAGGCTCCAGGCTCACACTGATCCAAAACAAGATCCAGATCCCGAATCCAGACCCGGATCCTGGATCCAGACCCAGATCTAGACCCACGCTCGGACCTAGATCCAGACCAGGTCTCAGACCCAGTCTCGCACCCACACCCAGACCAGGCCCAGATCCAGCTTCGCACCCAGAACCAGACCAGGCCCCAGACACAGGGCAGACCTCAGAACTAGGCCTGAACGAGTTCAGACTCAAGAGCCCAGACTCACACCGATCCAAAACTAGACTCAGGTTCCGGACCCAGATCCAGACCCAAACACAGGCTGGAACTCAGGGCCAGACCAGACCCTAGACCAAGTGTCTGTCCAGACCCAGACCAGACTAGACCGGACCAGACCAGACCAGACCAGACCAGACCAGACCAGACCAGATCAGACCAGACCAGACCGGATCAGACTCCAGATTCAGGCCGGCCCCCAGAACCAGGGCTGACCGAGAGCAGACTCAAGGCTCCAGGGCCACACCGATCCCAAACTAGACCCAGATTCCGTACCCAGACCCAGACACATACCCATATCCAGATCCCATGCCCAGATCTAGGTCCAGACCCAGACCCAGATCGAGACCAAGACCCAGACCGAGACACAGACTCAGACCCAGACCCAGACCCAGACCGGCGTTGGCGCGTCTCCAGCGAGCGGACAGGCTCCGCGCGTGTCACTGAGGTGAAGCGGCCGTCGAGTGGGCCGTTCCGCTCCGCCGCGCCGCTGGTCCGTACCGGGACACGAGAGCCGTGATGTCGTGATCTGGCCGCGGTCCATCGATGTCATAAGCTTTCCACACTGCGTGCCGCGGCATTGCCCTGACAGCACCGTTCCATCTGGCACGCTGCGGCGATGATGACGACTGGGCTTTCTCCGTCTGTCGGCACAGCAGTCATGGCCCTCACTTCTCAGATGGCAGTTGCCCAAGATGCAAAAGACAGGCATGCATCTATGTCTTTTATGGTGTTGAGCGAGATAGCGGCTGTTCTTATCTTCACATTCATTGTACTTTTATTTTACCTCAGACGGTATGTTTCATACGCCTGTTTTTGTACGGTAATATTTTTGTTATATTGGGGGGTTGTGGACGTTCACTGACGAGGTCCGCTGTCTTTTTTTACTCTTTGCGCTGTTTGCAATTGTGCCCGCGCTCGAGTCAAATGATGAAGACGTTGCTCCTTGTTTGAGGGTTGCACGCCTATCATGGTGGGTGCTTTGCCCACTCTAAACAACATTTTCCTATCCGGACGTGCTCCCAGTTCCAATAAGCCGACTCTGCCTGACAGTGGGCCATGAGCTCCGCACACCCGGACGGGCGGGACCCCGCGTGCAGGTCAGCGTTGGCCGCCGGCCTGGGTATCGTTTGTGACGCTCCCGGCGCGGCTCCCGTCTCCTGGAGTGGCGCGGCACGAGCGGTGCACCTCGATCAGTTCCGGTCAGGCGCGCGCCCCGCCTTTTCGCACAGAGCCGTTAGCACGTGGGAGGACGCGCCACGCGCCCGCGCCCGGCCACCGCGCTCGCCGGCCAGCCGGGCGGACGGCTTAGCTAGAGAGGAGCTGGCCTGCGATGGCCAGTCTGTGTTGACATGTGTGGGTTTAGTGGCTGTGTTGCACCATGCTTATGTTGCATTTTGTCTGCCATTACTCACGATGCATAGCCGCCGTGACAACGGCGGATGCCTGCCGACCCACTGGTCGCCGCTGGTGTGGCGCCGTGCAGCAGGCTATGGTGTCCACTCTCCAACGATCTGGCCTCTCTTCGGCAGGAGCAGGCGCCGCCGAGGCGGGGGCGACGCCCAGCAGCCGTGCAAGGAAACGGGTCAAGACCTCCACCCCAACGACGGAAGCCGTTGTGGCGCCGGCAGAGCGGACGCCTGGCGGGCGCGGACGGAAGCGGGCGGCTTACTCCTCCTCGTCGGATGGCTCGGCAGCGGCACCGGCAGCGGCGACGCCGACGAGCCGCGGCCGCAAGCGAGTCAAGGCGTCGACGCCGACCGAGCGGGTCGACTCGGCGGCGGCAGTTGCACCGCCCAGCGGCCGCGGCCGGCAGCGCCGGACGGTGTCGCCGGCGCGGCCGGAGCCGGCAGCGGTGGCCGCCGCCGACACCTCCCCCGGTCAGTAGGCGCCGGCGCCACGGGCTGCCCGCGCTGCCGGCCAGTCTCGCGCAGCAGGACGGTGCTGCTGACATGCTCTCAGGGCCCAGCTGCTAGTGAGAGTTGTAATTTCTTTCACGAACGGGCCACCTGTAACTCTAAGGCGTCAGTGACGAGTTGCCAGGCGTTTCAGTGTGCTGTGGTTTTAACTGCTGCTCTGTGAGATTATCCTGCAGCGGCATGGATAGCGCGCTGCTTCTGATTGAGTTGAGCTGATGTAGACGACGGGTTCTCCTGCTTTTCAGACAGTCCAGAACTGGTCCGAGTTCTGGAGAACATTCCTCTCACCAAGTCAGCTCTCTTCAAAGGTCTGGTTTTACTTTTTTAAATTTTCCTCTTTACGATTCTAACCAATCTGGTTTGTATTGCCGAACGCTGCCAGATGCACGTATAGAGCGATGCCCTTTGCATGTCGGCATTTTCCAAGTTGATTAAGAATGAACGGTACTTGGGCCGTTTCGTCCGCTTTTGGCAATCAGAATAGTGCCGTTCTCGGCGTAGTTGCTTTTTAGAACTCTCCTCGTTACGGTTGAGACAGAGAGTCTCGAGTTTGGCCTACGGTCAGCACCAATATCAGAGCATATGGACCCAATGTTTAAATGAATTATGCAGCTCCTTTGGCAGTTTCAAGCAAAAATATCACGAAACATTTTTTTAAAGAAAGGGTTATTTGAAAGTTCACTACGATTCGGCCTGGTCTGGGTCTGGTTCACACATGTCCCAGGTTCAGGACAGCTTCGTCATGCAACGACCCGACCACTCGTCTCCCGGAAAACGTGACGTTCACTCCCACGTGATCACCTGTTCGCTGAGGCCTGACAGTGAGACTTGCGCCATCTGCCAGCTTGCCATAGACCGACTGTTCACTCTCCAGATACCAGGCCTGCGGCGTGGCTGAGCCTGTTTTCACGGCGGTGGAATGTTTTTGACGCGACCTCTGTATCCCGACGCTCCAGGCCATATCACCAGGTCCCACAACCGCGCTGGCACGATGTCTTCACGTCCGCGAGCGACGCTGACCCGTCACCCGTTGCAGGTGTGACCGTGATTCTCACCTGCGCCAGCAACTCCAGCGTGAACCTGCGCAAGTGGAAGCACACCATCACGCGTGAGTTGTCTGCCTGCGTGTCCCAGCGCCGGGCTCCCTGCCGCGCACACGCTCACCCGTCCGCCGGATACGCGAAGCCGTGCCGGCAGGCCGGAGCGGCCCCATGAGAGGGATACAGGTCACGCTTCTGACCGGAGCCGACCAGCGCCGGTCTGCGCTGGACTGGCCGACGCTGCGCTGCGGTTCTCGGGCGTGCTTGCCCGGACCGCGGATTGCAGATGTGGCCCGGTCGCCCGCGGCGAGCAGCGCTGTTCGGTTCGACCTCCGCGCCACGCACGAGGCTGATTAGTCCGGTGTCCGGGCGTCGGCCGCTGTCCCGTCCGTGTCGTCTGCTCTGTCCCTGCCACCCCGGACACGGCCTTCCCTCGCACGCGCTTCTGTCTGCCGACCCGTGACACTGTCATGACTGACAGCCGCCCCCTGACAGTGCCGTGACAGTGACAGTGTCTGCCGGGGCGTGCGCCTTAGGCTGTCCGCCTTCGTTTGGTCCATACCAGGGCTCACCCGGTGGCAGCAAGCTGGAGGCGGAGGACCGCGCCCTGGCAGTGTTGTGTTCGCGAAGCGAGCGTTGAGGAGGCGGCTTCCGCGCACCCCAGACGTAACACACATGACCGCACGCTGTTTGGCGGCGGAGGTCGCGACGCTCGTGGTGGCGTGAGTGTAACTGTGTCCGTGTCCGTGTCCGTGTCCGTATCCGTGTCCGTGTCCGTGTCCGTGACTGTCTGTGTGCTTGCCCGTGTCCGTGTCCTTGTCCGTGTCCTTGCCCGTGTCCGTGCCCGTGTCCGTGCCCGTGCCCGTGTCCGTATCCGTGTCTGTGTCTGCGTCCTTGTCCGTGTCCTTGTCCGTGTCCCTGCCCGTGTCCTTGCCCGTGTCCGTGTCTGTGGATGTGTCTTTGTCTGTGTCTGTAATTTGATGTGGTGAGTGTATGTGTGTTTGTTTCCGTGTCCATGTCTGCGTTTGTTGTTCTGTCTGTTTCTGTTTCCATGTCTGTGTCTGTGCCTGTGTCTGTGTATATGGTTTGATGTGATGAGCATGGCTGTGTTTGTAATGCAGTAAATGTGACCGACTGCGTCAATGGCTTGTGGTATCTTAGCAACAGAGCGAGTGGTTTACCTCCCAGAGTCGCGGAAAGTCTTCCTGGGTCCGACCGTTCGTGTAGTGACTATCATACAAATCGGCGTTTACATTCGCTGTCGGACGTAGGGTTGTTGTTTACGTTTGCTCCAGCATGGTCTGATATGAAATTGCTTGACACTCCTAATCCCAAATCACTTTTGTCATTGTATTCGTTAACGAAGCGGTGCGGACCGGCTGGCAAGCGGCGGACGCGGCCCGGCCGGCCGGTCGGTCGGCCGAGCGCTGACAAGCGCACGTGCCGGCAGCGCCCTACGACAAGGAGCAGGTGGTGCAGCACGTGGAGCGGCGCGGCGGCCGCGTGCTGCCGGAGGTGGAGCTGACGGTGGCCGAGGTGGCGCGCGTGCGCCGGCTCGGTGACCTGCTGCTCATCGCCAACGGGCCGCTGCGCACCACTAAGTACATCACCTGCCTGGCCATGCGCGTGCCTTGCGTGGGGGTCCGCTGGCTCGTCGACTCAATCAAGGAGGTGAGCCAGCCCCGGTGGTGAGGCGCGGCGAGGTGCTGATATGATGCGAACAGAGCAGAGGCTGAAGCTGACAGATACAGATCATATTAACCAAGCCAGAAGGTCGTACGGTGTGTTCTGGTCTAGTTTGACTTGTGTTTTTCCCCAAGGGGTTCATGTTTTAGTGTATGTTCTCCAAAACGTCTGACGAATTCACATTATTCTCGTGTATTCGCTATTGTTCAACGCCGCCCACTATTTTCCGCGCACCCGCCTCATACCCCTCCCCTGCCCTTTCCAGCCTATCTCCCCTCTCGTAGCGCCTGGCCGTGTCGCCTGCCCCCGCCCCCGGCCGGCCGCCGGTGACGACAGCGCCGCCCGCAGAAGGAGCGGCTGCCGTACGAGGACTACTTGCTGCCGGCGGGCGAGGAGCCGCGCGGCGGCGAGCTGTACGACCAGCGGCTGGGCGCGCCGCCGCCGCTGGCCGGCCTGCGCGTGCTGGTCGCCGACCCGGCCGACTCGGAGTGGGGTCAGACCATGACCCGTATCCTGGCGGCGGCCGGCGCCGAGGTCAAACTCGACGATCAGGTGCGCGGGCGGCGGCAGGCACGGGCCAGCGACTGCTGCGGCATCCCCGGCAGCCGTGGCGCGCGAACCGGTCGGGTTCCCGCAGGCGTGTTATTTCGCAAAATAACTTATGGCGGTTGGGGGTGGGGGGGGGGGGGGGGTGGGGGGGGGGAGGCTGAGACTTGGGAGCGGTGTAATGTCGCAAACTAAGTGTGGAAGAGGAGGGGCAACGCCTTAATTTTCGACCTTTCCAGAGTTCTTTCCCAGGTGGGGAAAACGGCCAGAACTGATGCCAAAATAGACTTCAAACGGGTGCCTATCGAGGTTTTAACGCCTTCTTAAAGTTAGGGGTGGGGGCCCCTCTCCAAACTGAATAGGCAGCGGCACACGTGATCTGGAGTCGCCGTCTCGTATCGTGGCGTAGCGCGTCCCTGATGTTGCGTAAGGCGTCGGTCGTTACGGTGGCACACGGCGCGACGTTGCAGCTGCTGATGCCGTGCATAGCCGGGCCGCTGGCCCAGCTGAGCTGGAGCCTGCCGCTCACCGGGCGGCCTGCCGGTGCCGTGTCTTGCTGCTCACCGACCGGTGCCGGCAGGACCCGGCCGACGCCGCATCGCTGTTCGCGCCGGAGCTGGTGGTGGCGCGACCGGAGAGCCCGCCGGCCGTGCTGCGCTGGGCCCAGCAGCTGGCCGTGCCGCTGGTCTCAGGCCAGTGGGTGATCACCTCGGTGATCACCGGCCAGCGGCAGTCGCCGCGCGGTCGGCCAGACTTCAGCCACGAGAGCCGGCGGCGCGAGCTGCCCTGAGCCGGCGCCGCGGCCTGGGATCGGCTGGCGCGACTCCGTCTCCGAGTTCGGCGCCGCCGCGCGCGTGGTCGCACGCGGCGGAGCTCGCGCTGCTCGTCAGCGGACGCTGCGCTCGCCGCTCCGTGCGGCGCCGCGGCCTTTGTTAATCGCACGCTGTCGCTTGCTGTGGATGAAAACATTCGCGTTTAGCCAGGTCTGGGAATTTTAAGTTGTCGGTATGGTCCCGTTTCGAGAACGCTGCAGTGTCGTGTGAGTCACTGTAGCTGCCGTCCGCAAGGCACCCGATGCGTTTTCCAGGAGGCACTGCCATGACAATCCACCCACTGGCTTTTTATCGATATGAGACAAGTTTAGTTATACAAATTGACCGCACGCTTATGGGATCACTTCCATTGCAAGATCTCTTCTTGCTCTTCTGCTCCTTTCACTGTCATCGACAGGCCAGCACTCCTCTGCCAGCGTGTGCTGCCGATCATCTTCGCTTTTTTAACATATCACCGTTGCTTGGACGCCTCATTGATTGGCGGGTGGGTTGGAGTGCTTATCACAGACGTACCTGATCTGGCCGTGACGGCATCGTGTGCGCTGCAATACACATGAGCTTTGAGGCTGGAAGTCGTATCGAGACCGGCGGACCACCAGCGGCTGCGGCTGGCACGCCGGCCTGACCAGGGCGGGCAGGTCTCAGGGAGCTTGCCGTCGTCGCCCAGCTTCGGTGGAGTCGATGGGACCAAGGAGATCTGCTGCAACGTCACACTGCCTTGCAGAGGTGAAATAGCCCGAGTGGCGTTTTTGGAAATAGGGTTATTTATATATTTAGATGCAGCTCGAAGACCTGCAGCTCAAGACTTAAGGACAACAATTCGAGAAAAGGATAGTTCCAAAAATGCTCAAGATTATTTTCCTGAGCACATCGGCATGTTTTATGCGCTGAAACCTAAAAATGCTATGTAACAATTCGGCTCATGGCATTTAGGTCTTCTTGCCGCTGGATATCAGCACCGTCTGCCTGGCTGTGCCGAGGACTTCTGACAACACAATAGACATGCAGCGGATGCATGCATTACGCTTGGTCTTGCAGTACCATGATGCAGGAGTGGCAAAACCTAATGTTCGCCGTCGACAACTTGGCCCTCTGGTTTGTCGCCTGGAAGTATTCGCGGGTGGCGCAGCCTCGTCGCCATCATACATTGACAATCCGTCGGCCGACAAAGGACGCACGATGGCGTTCTGGTCGATGACACTGGCGTTGAATGGCTGTAAGAAACGTATGAGAACCCAGCCAACCAGGCAGGAACCTGTCGGACTTTTCAGTTGTGGAGGCCGGTCCTCCAGACCCCGGCACGCGATGTACGCGACCTGCTACCGCGTCTTTGGTATCCGCCGGCGGATCATTGGCACACGGCGATTTGGAAGCCATGCTTTGTGAACTAAAACTGGCGTACGGCGTGCTGCTCGTGTCGCATATTGCATTAGTGTAGGCAGAAACAGGCTGCCAAACATTTAAGACAGGTCCACACAGTTGCACTTCAATAGGCATATATTAGAAGCTCATTGTAGGAGGCACGACTACAGGACGTCCTAACGTCATAAACTCGCATTAGAGCTCACCAACACGAACAACACGAGGCGTCGCAAGGCACCTTATAGTCATGGATTGCCCTGAGACTAGCAGGGTCACCCTTTCAGAGACGCGCCGCTCCAGCTCCGCCTCTCTGCTTCTGGGCATAACAGCGCAGCACACAGCTTCGCGCCGTGCCTCATGCGACCTCAAAAACAATCTTGCACAAACGCTCAGCATAACATGTTTTCAGGTTTCAGCGGTTCACCCTGGAATGTGTTTAAGCGTATGCATCGACTATGGCCGTCTCATTGGTTAATCAGGGGTTGGCACAGAGCAACGCCATGTCTAGGTCCTTGGAAGGCCCGAAAGACAACCGCCACGCGATACTGTGCATCGTTAATCACATTGGTCGCAATAATCAGCTAACGCGTCGAAGCCCTAGGATGACGACACGCATATACAAAAGCCGTAAGTACACACAACATGTAATGCCAGGTAATCCACCGCTCATACAGAACCTTGATGCCGAGGGCAACCTGAAGCCTTCGTTGCGCACGTGCGATTAAACAATCAAATAGGTACATGACGTGGACCAGCAAAACGTCATACCAAAGCGCGTTCTCAACACTCCAACCGTCGTTGGGAGTGATGCTCGCCTCCGATTCGCGACTTTCCCGCAGCAGCAGGCGCGTCAGCGACGCGGTAGTGGCCAAACACACCCCGGCAGTGACACGGCGACCTCCAGCTTCCGCAGAGGTCGCACGCCGCGAGCGAGTCAGCACGCCCTGCACAGCCTGCACACTCGTCTCGCAGACGAGGGGTCGGGCGGACAGGCAGCGGCGGCCGTGGCTCGCGGAGCGGCCGTCGCATCACTGTCCGCACGGACAGAGACACGGCGGTGGCCGACCGGGGTATAACCCCAGCCGACTCGGGACCAAGGGGCGCCACCTTCCACGGGCGGGCGGCGCGGCGAGATGTCGGACTGATACCCCCGCCCGGAGTTCCCAGTCTCTCTCCGCCCGGCCCGTTCTCAGTCTGCCCGGTCTGCTTTCAGTCCGAGTCATCCTCGTCGCCGTACTCGTCGCCGGCGCCGATCGACGGCGGCCGCAGCAGGGCAGCGCAGTCGGCCGCCGTCGCCAGATGGCGCGGCAGCTGGCCCTCGCCGTTGAGCGCGCGCTGGTCGGCGCCGTGGCGCAGCAGCAGCGCCACCATCGGCGCCTGGCCGCGCCACGCCGCCAGGTGCAGCGGTGTGTCACCCAGCTTGTTCTGCGGCACGGCGGCGGCGGGTCAGCCCGGCGGCGAGACAGCACCGGACAGAGCGCCACAGTCACGCGCCGCGGTCCGGTCGCAGGCAGACGAGTGCACCCTCACCACGCTTTTTTGGAGACGGGCTTCACGGGTCCACCCCTAGGTTTCTCAAATGCCCATTCGTCAAGTCAGCAAATTGTAAAATCGCCTAGGAGTTATAACCGCAGCGTCGTCAACGGCAGCACAAGGCGAACACGTACTGACAGATGACCACCATGTTGGCGTCCTCACGAACCAGACACAAGGCCAGGTTCGGGCAGCACGAGTCAGCGCGCCAGCCTCGGCAGGCCCCCGCGGAGGAGGCAGGGGACGGGTGGACACCCACCTGGACGCTGACGCACACCCGGGGCGTGCCGAGCAGGGCCTGGGCGCAGTCCAAATGGCCGCCGCGCGCCGCCCAGTGCAACGCCGTGTTGCCGGCCTTGTCCAGGCCGTTCACTGACACGTTGTGCCTGAGACACTCGGTCAAAAAGGTGAGGTGGCCGCGCTTGGCCGCCTCGTGAAGCGGGCTCTCCACCGGCTCCGAGCGCTCCTCCACTGTGAAGGGACCGCGGCAGGTCAGACAGTGCTCTCCACCAGCTCCGAGCGCTCGTCCACTGTGAAGGGACGGCGGCACAGGTAACAAGCACCTACTGGAGCCTATCAGCTCACAAGCATTACATGAGCTCCAAACAGGTTTGGCCAGCAGAGGTGGCATGCATTATTTGTTGCTGAGCCAGCTGTAGGGATGTAAGTCAGACTGCAGTCAGCAGTATATCCTGGCAAAACTGGGCATGGGCCACAGTCAGCTGAACAAGTAGCATTTCCAGCTTAATCGGTGCAGGAAACTCTCCAACGTTATGGTCAGATATTCCTGATTGCACATATACACTAAGCATCAGATGGGTACAGGCACCTGTAAAACACACAGGCTAGATCATAACATGGTCAAAATTTTAATGATCCTCTTGCACACGCACTGAGAGGAGAGCGGCGCGGCCCAGCGCCGAGCACTCGGCGCGACTGACCGTAGTTGTAAGGGATGAGGCCGGTGCTGGAGCCGCAGCTGGCCGTCCACCAGGTCTGGTCGGCCGACGGCTCCCTGATGTACAGCAGGTCACCCGCCTCGAAAGACAGCTCATCCGCCTGACACCAGCCCAAATATCAGCACAAGATTTGAAAAGAGCAGTGCAGGTGTTTGCTAGTGATAGGGACAACATGTGTTTCAGATGTGGGCTTAATATAGTGCTGCACTGGAACTAACCTTCTGTAGCGATCGATAAAGGTGGCAGTAGTTGCCTTGATGTTTTCATCATTGATTACCTGAGTCCCCGTGCAGTGTGACACAAGAATGATTGTCTGCACCTCAGGGCCTGTGCTGTCAGCCGGCTGGTTCTGGCCAAGTGGCTGGGACCAGCACTGCTGGAGTGGTTGTGCTGGTGTGCTACATCGGTGCTGGCATTAAGGTGATCCCAGAACAGACTGACAGACAGGGAAGCACATCCCGAGAGGGATGGATCCCGAAGAGCAAGAAACACTCCATCACCAGGCTGCACAGTATATATTATCCCTGGCAGGAAGCAGCTCTCCACAGACATATGAGCAGAGAACAGTGACATCACTCCAAGGCCTGTTGGTTCATCTGCCATCAGTGGACAGCTAGTGGTATTGATAGTGATCACTTCTTTACAGTTTTGACACTGACAGCACTCTCAACCATTAACACAGTAAAAACAAACCTTAAACACACACAGCTATAACCAAACATCACAGATATACACCACACACAACTGAGCATGCTGGGGCCACCGATTGGTGAGCTAGTTGCATTGAATGCCTTGTGCAGCTACAATAGAATGGCAAGTTATCAACTTGGTGATATGCTAAAGCTGTACACAAGAAAAATTTGCACCAGCTGCAAGTTTCAAAAAGCTGGGCCTTAAGAATAAATAATTTTTTTATAGTTCCAGCTATCTTTCAAGGTGATACTGGAAAAGGCTGGCAACTCAACCTCCAGCATCGAGTGCAACAATTGAAGAGGACAAGTAAAACTACACTTTTAACCACATACATTTTGTGCAGTGTACTTGTAGATTGCCCTGAAAACCTTCACTTGACCTGGCTTGGGGGCTAGTTTTGGAGGTGGTGGTGCTGGTCTCAAAGCCATTGGAATTCTGTCTGCAAACAAGGAAAACAACACAGTACAATGACCTGCAACAATGGCCTGCAGCTCAGCTGTGTTCTGGGCAGCATCACGGCTGCCGCAACACAGGCCAGAGAAAGAGGCAAACCAGATTCTTCCAATATGATCTGTCTGAAGGCATCATGTGTATGTGCTCTAGTTGTCTGCAGCCTGATGAGTTTCTTTTTTCATAATACAGAAATGTGACTTGGCATACTTCTACCAATTTGGCTTCATCACCAGCCAGTCTGCACAGCTCTCTAGAGCTGAGATGAACACAACTTTTTACTTCTGAGATTTTCTATGAACACAACTTTTTACTTCTGAGATTTTCTATCTATCCAGTCATCCTGTGCCTGAGATTCGACTGAGTCACAACTAACTGTCACAGATAGCACACTGGTACTCTATATCTATGGTTTGCTACCGTCAACCATTGCTGCAATTATATATTTAGGGTCTGGTGGGACATGAAGATGATGAATATATCATAAATCAAAATTAAGAGATGATCCAGTGATGTTTGTGGTAGGCCACAAGCTAATCATTGTACCAATATTTCTTAATCTAAGAGAGGCCAGCATTATCCAATACAATATTAGCATTTGCATGCTGCAGAAAGGGCATTTCACATCAAAAGGAGCCCACTTTGACCTGGACAGGTCAGGTCACCTCAGGTTTCAGCATGCTAAAAAAGCAACATCACAACAGTACCCCATACAGCATAGCTGATAGGCACAAATTTCAATCATCAATGACCTTGCCTCATGACTCAGTCAATTAATTTCATCCACTGACAAGTGTACATATGACACACAAAGTGCAATAGCTATAGTGTTCAAGCTGCCAAATAATTTTGTGCAGAATATATTCTGGGAGCACATATTGTAATAACCATTCATATAGTTTTACTGTCACTGCCCCACACCACTCACATATCAAATGAACATAGGTAAAACCAGGGAGGCAAGCTTTCAATCATGATGACCCAGATTGTATAAGTGCCATGGAGCTTACCTGCCCACTAACCACCAACTAAGTACCTACATTTCAATTCGGATGATGATCCCCTGTCGTTGTGGACACACCCTTCTACGTATTGGGGAGCTAGGCTTACAAAAGGTTGCAGGTCTTCCAAAAGCTCACCAGGTAATCTAGCAAACAAACCACTTACCACTTCCACGGGGCGAGAAAATTATTGGCTTGAGCTTAAAGGTACTATTTCAGTAACCTATAGCCCTCAAACCGGAAATCGTGGCTCGAAACCGGCATAACTGACAACCGCTCATCCGCTTTTTTATCTTGACTACAGTGTTCATCTCGCGAAAGCCACAGATGCCTCATGCGATTGGTACCATATCGATAACGGTGAAGTTTTTTCACATCGGTGAACGACGTGCTGTGTGTACGTTCAGTCTCCGTTCGTCAGCACGTCAGCACGATTGTCAGCTGGAATGCGTGAGGTCATGCGTCCTGACGGGGCGTTCGATGTATGTGCTAACGGCAGTAACGCAGGCAGGGGGGCGCAGGGGCACGTGCCCCCCCCCCTAGGTTCCGGGGGGCCCGAAGGTCCCCCCGGAACCTACGGTCAAGGGCCCAAAAAGCCAGCCATAGGTCTTATTCAGGGCTCTCAGCCCGCAGGGCCGGGCACCCAAATGCCAGCCAGAGGGCCCCACGCTCTGATCAGCGACCCACTGCGTCGATAAGGGTCTATATTTCGGTCAACACCACCAGTACAGCACAGCCGGCCCCGTGGCCGCATGGGCCTCAGGGCCCATTTACCAAGCAGGACAAGGCCAGTGCCAGCGACTCACACTGGCCGGGGCCGCACAGCGCCTAACAGGGGCCCTGTGCTGTCAAAGAGCCCTGAGTCGGCCAGACGCAGTGTTCGAGGAGGCCCGAAGAGCCTAAAAGGCCAACCGGGCCCGACGATCAAGGGCCCGATTGGAGAGCCTAAGGGCATAAAGGGCTGGTCGGAGTCGTATTCAGGGACTCAGACTTGCGAAGACGAACCCTCAAATAACAGTCGGAGGGTCCCTTTGTGCCGATCGGGGACCTTTGAGTCCATATGGGGCCCATACGTCGATCAGGTACCACCGTACCACATCGCTGGCTGCGCGTCGGCGTGGACCTGAGGACACACTTCCCAATCAGCTATAAATCCGGGCATGTGATTTACGTTGGTAGGGGGCCTTCCATCTGCCAGGGGCCCCAGTGCCTAGAAGAACGCCTTGTGCTAGCAAGGGCCCCGAGCCGACCAAGGAAAGTGTTTGATCAGGCCCGAAGAGCGGCCCGAGCGGCACGCCGGAACGGACGATCAAAGGCCCGGTTGGAGGGAATAAGGGCCTGAAGGATTGGCTGTAGGTTACATCAAGAATCACGCCCCCAAGGGTCGTGACCTGAAATATTAGTCAGCGGTCCTCTTGCACCGTTTGAGGAACCACTGAGACAATGCGGGTGTCTAAGTCGATCAGAGACGACGAACACCGAAAAGTCGGCTCCATGTCCGTCTGAGCCCTTGAGACCCATTTCCCAAGCTGGAACGAGGCCGGGGTACGCGATTTGCAATCTTCGGGGTACCTGACACAATGAGGGGTTCCTGTGTCAGTTAGGGGCCACAGTGCCGAACAGGAATCCTGTGGCGGCAGGTAGTCCGAGTCGGAGCGGTGCTTAAGGGGACCCGAAGAGAGGTCGAGGGTCTCTCGAGACCAAAGATCAAGGGCCCAGTGGGATGGCTGAAAGGTCCAAAGAGCTGGCTGTAGGTCACATTGAGGACCCCCGTGCATAGGATCGTGACCTCAGATGTCAATAAGATGTTTCTTGCACTGATAGGACCCCTGAGGCAGAATGTTCCCCTATTTCGGCCAGAGATCAGTAACAATGAACAGTCGGTACCGTGCTTGTCGGAGCTCTGGGCCCATTTCCCAAGCAGGGACAAGGTCACGCCCACGATTACATCGGTCGGGCTCCTGTATTCAGGGACCCACAGTGCCTAGCAGGGCATTCTGTGTCAACAAGGGGACTCGAATCCGTCAGGGGAAGACTTGTTAAACAGGGACGGGGACGAGAGCCCGAGTGGCAGAGGGTCTCTTGCGTTGATCGGGACCCTCTGACAGTTGAAGGAAACAAAAACTTATGTTGAGTACTCACATTGAGGTAATAGGAGAGTCCTGCACAAGTCAGGGCCTCAGTACCGAACGGTGGGCGCTCCATCCCTATTCCAGCATGGGCCGTTCCGCCCAACTGGAGTCTATGTACCAATTATTTGACCAACTGCGATGAGCAGGAATGCTGTTGCGTTAATAACAGTGCATGCGTCGATCCGGGGTCAACTGTACGGGTCAAAAAGCCTCCCGCATCAGGAAGCGGACCAACGTGATATGATGTATCCCTCTAAGGGCCTCCAGATCGGCCAGAGGGTGCCGTCCCGTGTCGCCAGAATGGCGGCAGGAAAACATACCGCGGTGGGACAGAATGGCCCTTCCGTCCTTGACCGGAAACAACAATGTACCCCGCAGTGCTGTACTCAAGGGGGGCCACTGTACCGGAAATAAGGGGTCTCATTAATGCTGAATGGAGTGGGTCGAAAGGAGTTGAAACCCACAAAGCCATCCCATGTTTCCCTAAAAACGTCCATCATTTTACAGAAGCAAGTAGCGTAAAGAATACCACCAAAATGTCTCAGCCTGCGCGCCGGGTGCCAATAGTAAAGTGGTTAATGCGCCTGCGTTAACTACTGCGCGTCTGGGAAATCAGAGGTACGGGGTTCAATTTCCCGTGGTGCCCGCCCTGCCCGCCAGGGTGAGAGGCAGGCGACGTCACATAGCCCTAGCAGCTGTGTGCGTCATGAAGCCCCAACGACACGGCCGTAATATCCGGTAGCAAGGATGGCGATGGCTTCGGTCTCAGTTTTCCTAACACCGAGCGGCGTTGGCCACTGCGAGTAACGCCAGTGGGCGGGCGCCGAGCGCGCAGCAACGACTATAATAAAATAATGAGTCTCAATATATTGCATAATCAATTCGTACATTTCAAAGATTACACTGGGCGAATTTCCCTTTTTATAACTTTGAGGCTGTTCTCTGGACAAATTAACAGCGACCGCAGCACGACAAATACAAATTTCGCCAATACTCATCCAGTTAAACAACCAGATTCCCGCACCACCTCGCGTTGCCGTAAAGATCAGTACGTTATTGTCATCAATCTCAAAACCCTTCATGTGAAATATACGCCCGAAATATCTCTAAATGTACGAATTGGTGTCCGGAATCGTTCAAAGGTACTTCTTTCACATGCGTCACTATTTTCGTCCGCCTGCTGGCCACGGCCTACTGTTAGCCGCGGGGCCGACGCTGCGTGGTCTAAGGAAACCGCAACGCTTAGTCTTTTTGTTTTGCTTCTTCGATATGCGAGCGCGCATGCTCAAAATTACGTTACATAATTCGTGCCACTGACCAATTCTGGCTGCATGTTGAAGATATCCAGACAAACATGGCCAGGCCCTGTTAATACCATTTGATGACTGATTTTGAACTTCATCCTACATTCGCAGAGTCATTGCTATTTCTGTACAACCCAGATAAAAATTCTGACAAAGTTTCTGAGCTCTAACGGTGCATAAGAAGTCCACTGAACTACTGCTATATAATCAGCGCCGGCGATTTATTTCATGCAGTCATTTAACGCGTCATTTCATCAGCTTATCTACAATAAACTTAAGACAGAATCCACTATGCGGAGGGGTCTGGCCTTTTTTCCAGTCGTAGAAGGTGAACATGTGCTATATATATATATATATATATATATATATATATATATATATATATATGTGTGTGTGTGTGTGTGTGTGTGTGTGTGTGTGTGTGTGTGTGTGTGTGTGTGTGTGTGTGTGTGTGTGTGTGTGTGTGTGTGTGTGTGTGTGTGTGTGTGTGTGTATACATACACATATATAATATCTAGGAAAGACATGCCCTCAATAATAAAGGGATCATATCTGGCGATTGGGGGGGGGGGGGGGCTTTTGCTATCAGAGGGCCCTTTGTCATCATCACGAGATCTCATAGGTCTCATTTGAACCGCCCACATCACATTAACTCCTCCCAATATTTGATCTTCCAATCTCCTTTATACCTCATCATCAAAAAGATCGAAATCTTCCATGATGTCCACGAGAACGCTCGAAGGACATAAACGCCATAAGGTAAGGCATAACATGCAAAGGTCACCAGCATGTGACCTTTCTATGGATACCCGGGCATTGTGGCACCGCGGAAAATGTCCTCGCCGACACCCTTGCGAACGAAGGCGTCCGTCTACCAGCGCCTCTTGAAGTGCCTCTCACATTAGGGATTTCTTCATTTAACTCAAGCCCGTTTCGCTTGATATTTACAGAATCAATGGGATGTTTTGCGTGCTAGCCACATGTATCAAATCAAGTATATCCTCTAACCGTGGGTCAAGTGTTGTCAGTAGAACAAGCAGGGAGAAGTGATCTTGGTGCGTTTGAGATGAGGTCACCTTCCTCTCACCCACAGCCAGCTGTTCAGTCGCTCTGCACCACCGGTCTGCAAGACTTGTGATGTCTGGCTCACGGCAGAGCACGCATTGGTTGGATGTACTGCCCTTACTCAGGAACGTTGCTATGTCGCGAGTTACTTGATGACACATCGCCTTCCCCACACCCTCCAAACGCTGCTTGGCGACAATGATCCTGTTTGAACCGGTCTTGTCCTGGACTTCGTGATTAAGTCGCCATTGGGTACGGAAATCTGACGCGATCTGATTCACGACCGGACTGTCCCCAGCATCGTAGCCCGTGCGCATAATACTGGGACAACGAAACGGCACGGCCCCAACGTAGGGCAAGGTTTTCCTCATGGTTCCCCCCTCCCCACACATACACAATAACTTGTCACCTAGCATGGCGGGTCCTTGTTGACCATGTTTTTCGTATTGACTAGTCAAACAAAGCAAAGTTCCCTATGTGTGGTTTTTCCGTGCTCTCTCTTTCTACCCTGGCCTTCAGGCCTATTTACGACGAGCTGCCTTTGTGCGGGATTAGTTAAGGAGCTCGCTCTCCTCTCTTAGCGAATAACGTTGGTTGAAGTCATCAAAAATCCCGCTATTGCTGTTTCTTTCGTGTAGCCTCAGCAACAGCATGCCTGTAAGCAGCTTAAGTAGTAGCATATGAGTGGCTAGGTATGGACGAGTTTATTGTTGTGACAACTCACAATTAAATATCACCAAAGGCCAGTTTCATAAAAAACTATCGCCGCTCTTTGT